GAGAAAGTGGGCCCCATGTGCTGGGTGACAGCTATCACATTTTCTTCTGAACTTCTACCCATGTCACTTCAAGTCTCAAGCCTCTACCTCATCCTGCCTTCTGAGTTACACTCAAGAGGTGGCCGCCCAAGGCAACATGGGCACACCTTGGCTCTCTGAACTCCAGAAACAGTGAGATTAACCTCTAAGTTAAACAGGTTAGGCACCAAGCTTGAATTCTTCACCAACTGGCAAACTAGCTTTGGAAACCGGCAGGAATCATTACCTTCCTTCTCCCACAGTTGAGGGGGAAGCAAAAAAGCAGTAAAATCTGACTTCATTGGCCCCTAAAGTCTGAAGTATGGGTATGATTTAAAAACTGGAAGGCAATGCCAAACCTCCTTTCCCTGCCCATAAAAAAAATTTCTTTTGGAAGCCCTTCAAAGTGAAGTGAGAACAAAGCATGGAGATATAAACCATCACACCTGGAAAGATGGATTTCTCGTTGCCAATCTCAGTAAACAAGAGAGGCAGGAGTGAAAGATGCTGCCGAAATTGCACACCTTCTTCCGCACACCTTTGTAAACTCGCGTCCAGAAACGACACACCCTGGGCTATGGAGCCCACTCCCCCCTCCCTCCCTTTAGTAGAAACCAAAAGTGGCATTGGTTTTCCCTTCAGAGTTTTCTTCCACATTCCCCTGGGCCATCGCAAACTCTCAACACCCTGAGTTTGGACGCTGTGCCAAGAGTCCTGGCTATTGTGAAAGCTGATACAAAAGGCAGAGTAAGCTCTCCTGTCACTTAGAAGGCCCTGATTATGCAGGCCAGGAAGACGGAGCCCTGCAAGCCACTCCCTCCTGCCCAGTGACAACCTTCCTCATCTGCCTCACTTCCTGGTAGGCCAGGGATGGGCAACCTCTGTGACCTGCAGAACCATCCGAGTCAGGGACTGAAGGAGGCTGGTGCTAAGCAATGACAGAGAACACAGGCTGGAGGGTGGCACCAAGAGCCTCCCCAAAGCTAGCCAGCATCAGGAGAGAGAAAAGAAGGAAGAAAAATGACCTAGTGCCTAAGGGGACAGTCAGAGAGAGACCCCATCCCTGCTCCCTGTCCACTGTATGGGTCACACCCACTTGAATGAATCTAGAAACCATTCAAGATTTGTTCTCATTGGTCTGTTTGTGTCCTTGTCACGGCTAGTGCCCCCAGTGAGGAAGTTAAGGCCATGAATGCCCCAAAGGGACATCAGTAAATAGTCAACAGGTGGCAGCTATTTTATTATAGCTGTATACAACTGCTGAGAAAGTGTGTGTGTGTGTGTGTCTGTCTGTCTGTCTGTATGGGGATATGTGTGTATGTGCACGTAGCAGAGTTGCTCTATTACTCTTCATCTTATTTTTTACTACAAGGTCTCTCACTGAACCTGGAGCTCATGGCCACTGAACTCCAGAGATCTGCCTGGAGTCTCCCACTCCCCCACCCCCGGGTTTGACATGGGGGATGGGGATTAGAACTCAGGTCCTTGTGCTTGTCTGGCAAACATTTTACCAGCTGAGCCATTTTCCCAGCCTTAGGAGGAATTTTGTAACGTAACCCATAAGACGCTGGATGGTTGGAGCAGCTCATAGAGGGATAGCCCACTCCCTTGTACTGGCTGGGTCTTTGAGCATCATACAGACCTAATACCCATCTCTCTACTATGTTTCATCTCTGTTTAAAATTCTGCAAGGAGACAAAGACTCTACGTTTCCATCCCTCTAGCTTATACCAAAGCTGCTGGGTTATTTTAGCTGATGTTAAGAAGAGAAACTTCAATGCAAGAGTAAAGCTGTGTACACTGTCACCCCAGGCATTCAGCGAGAGGTGCCGAGGCTACTCTTGGCTCACAGCCACAGCCCACACTGGCAAAGCTACAGAGATAAGAGCAGTGGCTTTTTAAGCATCTCACTTAAGCAGTGACCTCCATGCTCAAAGGCACAGAAAAGGAGGGAACCCCTTATCTGAAGCACTGCAAGTCAATGTGCCAGCCTTAGAGGCTGTGTGAAAAACTATTTAGTTGTGTGTGTGTGTGTGTGTGTGTGTGTGTGTGTGTGTGTGGTATGTGGTATGCGTGTAAGGTATGTGGTGTGAGTGTGTGCGTGTGTGTGTGAGTGTGTGTGATGTGTGTGGTATATGGTGTGTGTGTGTATGCATGCCGGCCCGTTATGAGTTTGTAGGTAGAGTAGACAGGACAGAGTCCATGTGGCTGAGTCTTGCTTCTCACATTCTTGGAAAGAGCCCATCCATGCTTTGTTTCTTGTATTTTTTTCTTTTTGGGGGTAGTTTATAAGTGAAGGAGGAACCGGCCTCAGAATAGTCAAGTAACTCGCCCAAAGTCACATGAGAAGTGACAGGATTCCTGCCTAGGCCCCTCTCTCCTCACAGTAGAGCGCTCTTAAAATAGACTGTGCAGATAAAGGAGAGGCGGCCTGGCTGGAAGTGGACCCGATTCACAGAGTGGGCTATCAGATGGTAATCATACGAAGAGAAGGAGGCTTTGGGTGATGCTAACAGGAGACCTTTCTGGGTGCCTCTCGATGCCAGTGTCCTTTGTTTGTGTCGTTCTGCTCCCCGGGCTGGGAACAGAGGACTACACTCCAGCAGGCAGGTTCAAGTCCCCTGAACATCCCAGTGTGCTCTCGGAGGACCTGTCTCTCCTGAACATCCCAGTGACCTCTCAGAGGGCCTGTCTCTTCTGATGAGGTCAGAAATTGTCTCCTGAACACTGGGTAGTCTTTTTATGAAGATTGAGGCACCTGACCAGAGTATTGGTTATAACACAGTGTGATTAATTCACCAGTGCATAGCAGTAGCACCTGGTGTGGAGTCTTGGAAGAGATGTAACAAGAAGCTAATTCCTTACACAGTATTTCTTCAAATATCTAGCCACTGTCATGACTCCAGTTTTGGAAGGCAGCATTTAAAGATTTTTTATTATTATTTATTTATTGTTTTTTTCAAGATAGGGTTTCTCTGTGTAACAGCTCTGGCTGTCCTGGAACTTGCTTTAGACCAGGCTGGTCTCAAACTCATAGAGATCCACCTGCCTCTGCCTCTCGAGTGCTGGGATTACAGGCGAGTGCCACCACTGCCCAGCCTGAAAGGCAACACTTGCTTATGTTCTGTCCACACAGAGACTTTAAAGACACAGGTTTCATGACAGGGGGTCAGATGGCTCAGTGGGAAAGATCGCTTGGCGTCACACCTGATGACCTGAGTTTGAGGTCTTGGAGTCACATGACTGAAAGGAGAAGAAACGACTCCCACAAGTCACCCTCTGGCCTCTCCACACTCTCCATGTCTCTCCACAATAAACAAATGAAAAAGACAGTGGATCCGAATTCCAAGAATCCCTATTTTTGATGCATTCAGCAGAAGAAAAACTTCATTTACAACGTGTGTGGCCAGCAGCGTACTGGTCTTGGGCGACAGAGATGCAGTTGGTGGCTTGCAGGGTAACCATTCGAACTTCCAAGGAAACACTTGGATTTCCCCTTGTGAAGCTTGCATGGCCCATTCTTTATAACTGATTTGCGTTGCCCAGAACAAAGGGGGGGGCAAGCATGAGAATATCACCAGTTAGCAGGTCAGGCCCCTGTACGGACAAAGCCGGAACAGGGCAGTCCCTCCTTCCCTTGACACACATGTTTCTGAGCATCCCTGGGTACTTATCTGGAGGATAAAAACATGCACACTAACATAAGGTCCCTCGAATTCCTGCCCTCATGGTGACACGGCATCTAACTGAGAAGATTCAAGCAATGATCAACTTTGTCAAGGCACAGCTGACCCGGTTGACCCTCCCTCTTCCTAGGGCTGTCTACAGAAGTCTCGCCCCCACCCCCACCTCCAGCCCAGGGCTCAGCACATGCCTTTGTGAGCCTTGAGGGCTTGCTCTGGTGGTCTCAGGCAGCCATCACGCAAACGGAAACTGTTTGCTGAGCCAGGCTCCACATCAGCCATCAAGAAACGCCTGACTAGCAACTCCACATCTCTCAGAGTTGCACGGGTATGGTTTCCTGGGAATTGTCTGTATCACTTTGCACACATCTAGAATGTACCCATATGTAAGAGGGACACACAAGCGACTCATCCCCCCCCAAAACAAACACAAATAAAAACCAAAGCAGGGCTATGGAAATACCTCATCAGCTCAAAACTCCTGCCACAATTCCCGAAGGCTCTGGTTTGATTCCTGGGATCCGCATGATGAAGGGAGAGAACCAACTCCCACAAGCTGTCCCCCGAACTTGATGCCCACTCTATGACCCAAGCATACCCTACCCCATACACACACCCAAGGCCACAACATGTGTGCATACACTAAACAAATAAATAAAATGCAACGAAACATGTTTAAGCAAAAAAGGTGTCACTGGATCTCTTTTGAAATATGCTTAGTAAATTCTCATGTCACTTCCTCCAATAAAGGAAATAAGTGAAGGCAGAAATCATGGAGTCACTCCCCCACCATTTCTAGACTTCTTGCTTAGCTTTTGTTTTATGTGCACGAAGGTATCAGAACTCCCGGATCTGGGGTCACAGACAGCTGTGAGCTGCCATGTAGGTTCTGGGAATTGAGCCCAGGTCCTCTTGAAGCTAGTGCTCTTGACTACTAAGCCATCTCTCCAGCCCCCATTTCTAGACTCCGTAAGCAGCAGCCTTCGCAATTACCGCGGGACACAGAATGCACAGCTCAGCTACACCCCAGAACTTACATGAAATCATCTTATATTTGCCCTTTACTTCAGACTTTTTAGTGTCCCTTTCCAGGGCCAACTGGGTCTTCCAGGTCAGCAGAGGTGAGGGATGGGGACGGAATGGCTGTGGGTGAGTCATGCTATTCTCCTGGTTGCCTGGCAAGCTACCGTGTGTACGCTTAAGTAAGAAACCATCGTGGACACAGATCCAGAGCCTTTCCCAAAGAACACGAAATCAAATAACAAAGGAGGTGACCAAAGCCTGAAGACTGGCTCCTACCTCAAAGTCATTTGCTTTGTTGTAGTGCATGTTGAGGGCTCGGTACAGCTCGCAGTCTCTGGTGATGGACAGCTCTTCTGTGCTGGTGACCCCGTCATTGATGGCTTGACGCGCGTACTTCTCCATCTGAATGTAGTAAAACTCGCGGAAATTGCTGAACCACTTGATGAGCTGGGAGGTGATGCATCTGTTGAACTGTTAAATTTAAAGGTTGAGAGAGGTGAGCACACGCGCGTGCGCGGCCGCCGCGCTCCTGTTTGCTGACTTTGTTTAAGTACCCTAAGCGTTTTAAAGTTTCACTTCTGCTCTACCTGGAGAGGGGGGTGGTGAGTTCCAACAAAATGGCAGTGGCAAGAGGAATGCACATTCTCACAGAGTATGAGAGAGCATACCGGATGACTGAGACCACAGCACTGCCCTCTCCACCTCAAGGGGAGAACTCATATTCTAAGTCAGGGTTTCCTTAGAGCGGTGATCTTCCGTTTAAAGGAAAGCCCACTGCTACCTTCAGTAGAGCCCATGCATCTGTCTGCTGCTGGGAAAAGGACTGGAGCCAGAGTCCTAGGCAGAGCTGCTACTTCCAAGCTCCAGTGATGATCAGTACCAAGGCCATGACTTCATCATT